CTCCTACTACACCACTATATCAGCCAGCGATACTAAGACTCCTACTACACCACTATACCAGCCAGCGAGACTAACACTCCTACAACACCACTATACCAGCAAGCGATACTAACCCTCCTACAACACCACTATCCCAGCCAGCGATCCTAACCCTCCTACAACACCACTATACCAGCCAGCGGTACTAACACTCCTACTACACCACTATATCAGCCAGCGATACTAAGACTCCTACTACACCACTATACCAGCCAGCGCTACTAACACTCCTACTACACCACTATACAAGCCAGCGATACTAACACTCCTACTACATCTATACAGTTACTATCACTACTACTGCCCAACACCACTATACCAGCCAGCGATACCAACACTCCTACTACACCACTATACCAGCCAGCGATACTAACACTCCTACTACATCTATACAGTTACTATCACTACTACTGCCACCACCATCACCTCCAACACCACCACGTACAAAACAACCACTGCCGCCACCATCGACGCTGCCACCACTTTAACCTACAATAAAAACTACTACTGTCACTGCCACCGGCAACACCAACGTCAGCTACACCACAAACTGGAACTGCCACAAACACCACCATCTACAACAGCAACTACAACTGCCACCAACACCACCATCTACAACAGCAATTACAACTGCAACCAACACTACCACATACAACAACAATTACAACTGCCACCAACACTACCACTAACAACAACAATTGCTTCTGCCACCAGCATTACCACCTACAACCACAACTAAAACTGTCACCAACACTACCACCTACAATAACAATGACTACTGCTACCAACACTACCACCTACAATAACAATGACTACTGCCGTTAACACTACCACACACAACAACAATTACTACTGCCATCAACACCACCACCTACAACAAAAACTACAACTGTCACTAACACTATCACCTACAACAAAAACTAGAACTGTCACCAACACTACCTCCTACAACAACAATTACTAGTGCCACCAACACCATCCCCTAAAACAAAAAATATTACTGTCGCCAACACTACCAGCTACAACAACATCTACAAATCTCACTTACACTACCACCTACTGCAATAATTACAACTGTCACCAACACTACCACATACAACAACAATTACTTATGCCAACAACACTTCCACATACAACAACAATTACTAATGCCACCAATACTACCACCTTCAACAAAAACTACAACTGTCACCAACACTACCACCTACAACAAAAATTACTAGTGCCACTAACACCATCACCTACAACAAAAAATATTACTGTCGCCAACACTACCACATACAAAAAAAATACAACTGCTACCACCAATTCCACCTACAACAATAATAACTACCGTCACGGCCGCTACCTGCAACAACAATTACTACTGCCAATAACATTTCCATCTACATCAAAAACTACAATATGCCACCAACAGTGTCACCTACAACAATTACTACTGCCAACAAAATTACCACTTACAGCAACAATTACTACTGCCACCAACACTTTCACCTACAACAACAATTACTACCACCGCCGCCACAACATGCAACAACAAATACTATTGCCTTCAACACTACCACCTACAACAAAAACTACAACTGTCACCAACACTGTCACCTACAACAACAATTACTACTTCCAACAAACTATCACCTACAGTAACAATTACTACCGCCGTCTCCATCAACTACAACAACATTTACTACTGCCAACAACACTACTAACTACAACAGCAATTACTACTGCAAGCAACACTACTAACTACAACAACATTTACAACTGCCAGCAACACTACCAACTACAACAACAATTTCTACTGCCAACAACACTACCACCTACAATAACAATTACTACCTCCGCCTCCACCAACTACAACAACACTTACTATTGCCACCAACACTGTCACCTACAACAACAATTACTACTGCCAGCAACACTACTAACTACATCCACAATTTCTACTGCCAACAACACAACCACCTGCAACAACATTTACTACTGTCAACAACACTACTAACTACAACAACATTTACTTCTGCCAGCAACACTACTAACTACAACAACACTTACTACTGCCAGCACCACTACTAACTACAACAACATTTATTACTGCCAGCAAAACTACTAACTACAACAACTTTTCCTACTGCCAGCAACACTACCAACTACAACAACAATTTCTACTGCCAACAACACAACCACCTGCAACAACATTTACTACCGTCAACAACACTACTAACTACAACAACAGTTATTACGGCCAGCAAAACTACTAACTATAACAACATTTACTACTACCAGCAACACTACTAACTACAACACCAGTTATTACTGCCAGCAACACTACTAACTACAACAACATTTACTACTGCCAGCAAAACTACTAACTACAACAACTTTTACTACTGCCAGCAACACTACTAACTACAACAACAGTTATTACTGCCAGCAAAACTACTAACTACAACAACATTTACTACTGCCAGCAACACTACTAACTACAACAACATTTACTATTGCCAGCAACACTACTAACTACAACAACATTTACTACTGCCAGCAACGCTACTAACTACAACAACATTTACTACTACCAGCAACACAACTAACTACAACAACATTTACTACTGCCAGCAACACTACTAACTACAACAACATTTACTACTGCCAGCAACACTACCAACTACAACAACATTTACTACTGCAAGCAACACTACTAACTACAACAACACTTACTACTGCCAGCAACACTACTAACTACAACAACACTACTAACTACAACAACACTACTAACTACAACAAAACGTACCACTGCCACCAACACTGCTGCTACTACATTACGATTTCACACAAGATAAGCATTTTTCTCGTAAATGTACATTCGAGCGTGTCTTATACTCTCATCAATTTTGTAATGAACAAAATACTATAATCAGGAACAAGGTAAAATGACCTTAACCAGGATGTCTGGAACAGTCAATACTTTTCTGCATTAATTATGCATGAATAGGTATCTTGCATGATTTATTCAACGTCATCTATATTTGCATGAGGTACAACAGGGAAATTTAATATTCCTTCCGTTTCCAAATTGATAATACATTATTCGTTCATTTTTCACTCCAATAAAGGCAAAGACGTGACCACCGTTATTCTTACAACATAAACAGAAAGATATACCGATTGTTTGAGTTCGGCATCAACGATTAAGGAACAGTCGTTACATTTGTTAACAAGGAATAGGTTCGATACTTGTAGCTTATGTGAAACAGTTGTAAATAACCAATCGTGAATGAATATACAGTAAAGCTTCCTTTTATATCTTTGTATATTGACGACTTCATAATGACTCAATTCGCTGCAATATGTCATGTTTATTTGCCTTGTTGGAGGAAGTTAATGACTTGATTATGCTGGCCTAGTACTTGCATCCTGTTTGGTAATTGCACTTTGTTTATCACTATTGACCTTTAGACTACATACTACTCAGTATAAGTAGGAAAGTTAGATAAAATGATTAAAAAGCATGACTTTTTGGAGAGTATCCCTATATCATTTGTTTATTTCTGATTTTCATAAATTACCAGTTGAGTGTATTTCCAACCATTATGAAATCCGTAAAATAGAATAGAGTTTATAAAAAAAGATTTCATCACATTTCCAAATAAAAATTAAAATATGTTTAAAATTGATTTTAAAAAAATAAAAAAATGTTAAAATGCAAGACAGATAAAACATGGATGAAAGTAGAACATATCATCTCTCAATATATCATGCTTTTGCAGTGGGTAAAATATTGTTTTCATAATGCGAGCAACAAAAGTAATGCATTAGGGGTAAAAATCAAAATATTGACTCATATATTAGTACTTATAGAATTTTTTATTTCATAAGATAAATTTAAACTTTATTTTTTTTAAAAGTGACTTAAATTGAAACATCTGCTGTTGGTAAAATGTATATTCATACTTCAAGGCTGCGATTAAAACCTTGATGAATGTAAGCCATTTAAAAACAGTTTTGATAGGACTATTATGGCGTTAATATACATTGAAAATACTGCATGATTTTGTGCGAGTTACAATGAAATGTAAGTTGTTAGTATTTGTTGCAGTAGTATGTTAAACTTGGTTTGTTACAAAACAGTATCTAATAAATCTAAGTTAATCTTTTGTTACATAACACACTTCTAACACGTATCAAATGACCGCCGTTGAAAATGTTCAAAGAGTTTGGGAATTGGGGTGATATGTGATCTTATAGATACCCCAAATACCTAACTAAGTAAACAAAGCCATAATTTGTTAATTTGTAAATGTTAAATGCTCATTTTGTTAACATCTGATACTAAGATCGGTACAGCGTATTATATATCACCGTATGGAACAAAAATTACCATTTGATATGATAATTTAAAACACAATGTCTGTGTATTGAAGGGTATTTTGTGTTTAGAATAATATAACCTAATAATCTCAATACAGAATTTCGTTATATGCTATCACCTAACGTAAACTTTAAATGTCAATAACTATATAATCCAGGAGGTAAACGTTGGCTGATATTCAGTTTATGATATATCTTAGTTTAGTACAATATAAATATTGTAAAGACAGTAATCCTAGATTTATAGCTGATGGAAAAGAGTCGAAAAGCAAAGACAGCAACAGAGAAAAGAAAGCTACGGACCCTCATAAAAAGTTAGATATTTTGTTTTACCGATATTTTAACTGGTAAATCTATTTTCGATATTGAACACTAATTCTCATTTAAGCAAAATTTCCAGTGATTTACGTTACTTTCTGTCATAAGAATTACAAAAGGTTTGTTGGGATATATTATTTCCTTATAATTTGAAATTTTGCGATGATCGTGGTTTTGAGTATAATTTTTTAAAGGAAATTTCCTGTGGACTTACCCTAGACAAAGGTGTTAAAAGGAGTATGCTATATAACTAAAATTCTGCTAGGATCCAAGCATATCATAATAGAACCTTTCAACTGACAACATGTATTGTGTACATGTATTTAGGTTACTTGCTGTCTTCTTCTTTTGTCTTAAAGGTATGTAAGACAAAGCTATATAACAAAGTAGTGTGGTAGTAATAGGGACAGAATAGCTTTTCTACACAAATTGTAAAAGTAGTTTTCAAATATATATATGGAATTCATATAACTTATAATTCATCAACCCTTATAAGCGTTTTCTAATTTTCTAAACTAGTTCAGTTTATTTAGCGGTGAAATCCGTTTTACACAATAACTGACTACTATCATTTATGTTTCATAATGCAAATTATTTCCAGACAATGTAAACTGTTTTAGTTTTCATGTATTTTTCATAAAGTGAAAGTTTACATCCGTCCATCACAACCATAGCTAAACAACCCAAATACATGGTGTATCTCAAATTTCATGGTCCCTTATACTTTGACATAGCGAAGTTTTATTTTATTACACTTTAAGTATTATTATTGTTTCTTCCTATTATTTTTGTCATGGGGAAACATGATGTCTTTGGTCGTTTTTATGTCTCCTCCTTTCCGGTTTGTTTTGTTGCCTTGACGCTTCGTTCAGGCCTGATGTAGTTGTGTCACACACATACATATATATGTTAAAGTGTAATCCTCACGACCAGTAAGATTTCCCATACACCCCACGGAAAAATGTCCGCCTTCACAAATATGTTCCGGGTAGCCACCTTTGTTCTCTATTGTGTTAAAAGCATGTGTTATCACACAGCGTTTATCTAACCGACTTCTTCTCTGTGTAGGCTATACTGTAGGGTTTTACTGATTGCTTTGTATGGATTTACCATATTAATTGTGAATGTGAACTTCAGGAGTTATTTTCGCTCTGGTAAATGTTTCACTGAAACGAAATACCGGTTAGATAAGTTTATAATTTCGATAAAAATAAACAGATCAGTTTAGTGATTTTTTGTTACTATCGAAAAGTGCTTAATAATCCAAATAGTGAAAACTGTTTGATTTGATTAAAGGCTCAGACTTGGTAAACGGAGCAGATTGTGCTGGGAAGGAAATCGACACCGAGGCGTCGTTCTGTTGCGGATCAACAATTCACAAAAAAATTAATGGTGATGGGCTTTTATGGGATTGCTGTGAGGGTAAGTACGTGTAACCCAAAAAAGGAAGAATCTATAAACAAACTGTTGAAAATAAAGAATTACTTAATAATAATGTACGCTAATTGTATACTAATTATGAAATAACTGCTTATACGTTATATGTTTTTACTGTTATTTCAAAATGTGTAATAATTGTACATTTATTGTCTATTCATAATGAGAAGTGGGGCTGAAATGAATATAAAATATTTCCTTCATAATCTCCTTATAGTGAAAATAGGCCCATTCTTCGGTTAGAAGTCCCCAATAACGTATATTTTCACTGAACAAAAATAAAACAAAAACAAAACAAACGACGAAAATATGATAACGAAAATAACCCATTAATAAAGCGTAATCGGTTAAGATTTCTTAATTTTTTAATTGAAAATATTAAAACAATTGAAATTTGAGATTTTAGAACAAAAACTACCAAAAGTATGCGAATAAGAACAAGGCATTAAGGGGATAATCACGAAAATAACAAGAAGCAAAAATAATAAGTTTGACAGTAAAAATAAACCAAAATATTTGTTTCAGGTGCAAATAAGCCATACTCTCATATTGAAGAGTGCTGTGGTTCCGAAATAAGGAAAAGATCCCGGTTTCTGGGTTGTTGTAAGAATAGGTTTTATAATACAAGTACCCACAACTGTTGTGAAGAATCGGGAAAGGTGTTACACAGAGAAGGTAAGAAATATGAACAGAAATAATTAAATATGTCATTATAAGGCATACTCACTGCTGAACGTTTTATGTTACCACGTTTCGAAGACTATTTTCTTGATTTGATTTGGTTTGGTTTAGTATTGTTAAACGTCCTATCAACAGCTATGGCCATTTAAGGACGGCCTCGCCTTTGTGCAAGATGCATGCGTGTAGTGTATGCGTGTGTGTTTTGGGTGGCTGCGATATGTTCGTGTTTGTCTCCTGGTGATAGCGCAGGACTGATGACGATTTTATAGTGCTACCTCACTGAAACATACTGCCGAAGACATTCAGCAGGACCCCCCACCCCACCCCACCCGGTCACATTATACTGACAGCGGGCGATACAGTGGTCCCACTTCTAAATTGCTGAGCGTCAAGCAGGAGTAGAAACTACCATTTTTACAGACTTAGGTATGTCTTGGAAAAGGGACAGAACCTAAAACCTTCCTCACAGGGGCGAACACCCAACTAAAGGCCAAAAGTGAGGCATTGTCAAGGGACATGAGGAAGAAGAATGTTGTTTAGAAAGAAGAGAAAAGATAAGATTCCAAATTTGTCGCCTCTTACGATCTTGCAATGGGGGCAGCAGGTTCAATTCTTACGCCCTACCTGCAGGGACCTATTTTCGTGAATTCCAGGATAACGTAAATAGTGATTCAAGCAGAAAGGTGTTTTGAAACAATGTTTGATAAAAGCTTTTCTCATATTTTAACGTTTTATCACACGTTATACATACATCAAGCACGATTCACAACTATTTTTCTTTAAGTGATAGTTTGATTGGCCATTTTTCATTTACAAATCACAGAAAAAAACAGAATCACTGGTTCTGCTTTCATTTATTTAAGAAAGAAATTCCACTGCCATTGCTGTATTTTCCGGAATTTAATATTACTTATTTGCTCAAGCAGTGAAATATCAAATTTAAATCGAAAAGTGGATACTTCGGTTATTTCTTTTGAAAAAAATGACCAATCAGATTTAGCATTTTCTGAAATTAACAGCTATAAGAATGTCTGAATGTGATATCATAATTAAAAAAATTAAAAAACCTGTGATGACATAATCCAATGACGTGGCTTTACGCACCAATTGGACAATCAGAATAACTTTCTAAAGTAAAAATAAAATATATCCACTACAAAATTATAAGATTGGATTGTTTTTGGTACTTACAATAGGATCACGTTCCTGCTGCGGAAGGAGCACCTTTAAACCATCTACTCACCTCTGCTGCGGGAACGAACATAGGCTTCATGATCGCGAGGCGAACACAGCTTGTTGTGGAAACATAGTATACAACCAAACCACACATGTCTGTGTAGGAAACGACCGCGTGGTTAAGAAAGGGTTCGGGGTTTGTGGAATAATGATAAACAGTAACAACATGATATGTTGTAATAATGTTTCCCACGTCAAAAAATACCGACAAAGTGACTGTTGCGGAACTCGATTGATTGATGCTAGCAAAACAGGCTGCTGCAACGATGAAGTTAGTTATCGTCTCGACAAGAAGAAATGCTGTGGAGGTAATCCAGCATTTCTAATGCTTTCGTGATAAAACTACACTGCTTACACGTAAAGCGCCTTGTAAACAAATCTCAATTGTTCTTTAATATATATCTAGATTAACGTTTTTTTCAAAACAACTGTGGTCGATATAAAATAAGTAGAGCATGTGTTTAAAACTATACGATGCTACTCCGTTTTGTCGTTGTTGCCAGATACAACGCAAATAAGATGAATGTCATATCTAGCTGGTTTCTTCTTAACAATTTGATCACGTTATTGGTTGTTGTAACCCTGAGCTTACATCATTCTGTACAGTGGTATTATACTATTCACTATAAAGATATACGGATGTATGCTGAGTCAAGAGGTATTTTCTTGCTTCATTTGCAATCTGTATATCAGTATAAATTTATTAGATCATCATAGTTTTTGCATCTACTCTTCTGTCTGGTGACATTGATAATTGCTTGCACTTAAGTTATTAAATTTTAATTATAATTTGAGTTATTGTATGTTATTTTCATTACAGCTAAAGTCATACGGAAGGCTCAACAATGCTGTGGAGGACGTGCAATCAAAGCGTCATGTAAATGCTGTCCAAAGGGGCGCAAAAAGTGGTAAGTTTGATACAGGATTTGAACATGTTCACCTCGCGGCATCAATCACATCTTCTTTTTGCAAAGTATTTTTGTATTTAGTGCGTTGCTTTTAGAATTACTGTACACACCTTTCACTGCCGGCCATTCGAAACAATGCGCACTGTCTGTTTGAGTTTGTAGTAAATCATAAACCTTTGTTTTATAGCCTTAGGTTTTATATTTGCCACAATTTGACGATAAATGGTACATAGAAATTATTTATCGTATCAACAGTAGCCAATGAGGTTGTCAGTTAATTCTTTTAGTTTTTAAAGTTTTGTAATCTCAACTTAACATACAAATGTGTTAGATTACATATATTTCGCATTCTACTGACACTCACAGTTGCTCAAGGTTGAGCTTTAGTATAGACTACAGCAATTGTTAGAGTAGAACAAACTCCAACTTAAGTAATTTTTGGTTAAAAATGAAAATTAGTCCTATTTTGGAAGTGGCTTACTTTCACGAAATTGTTTCAGTTTTTTGACGGATATCCATTTTAATTTTCACAGTTGTGGAACGAAAACGAAACGAAAGCAGAAAACACTAAATTGTTCAACAGGACAACGATGGTCTACTATTTCAGATTTGGTGGATTCGAATGGATGCTTACACCAAGGTACGCGTTATTACTTATAGCATTAGAAATCTTATCTTGATATCAGTGATACATAATTCATAAAGTAATGTACAAATAGTTCATTTATTTTTTAAATTTATCCCAATTACATACTTATATTACCTTTTAATGTGTATTGTTCTTTCAGCCTTCTTTATTAAGAAACAAAAGCAGCAGAGATACCAACAAAAGAAACAGCTGCGCGGACGAAAAGAAAAAGCTTTTTGGAAACTGGACAAATCTTGTGATTTTATCAAGAAGAAGAAGAAATTCGTCATAGTTGAAACAGTAACAGGTGGTCAGTTCCCGGTTCAATCCAACAAGAGGAATACGAGAAGGCTCAGGTATATAAAAAAGAAATGCACCGGGTCTTAAACATATTGATGTCCTCACACATTACCTCTGACCCAATGGCAGAAAGCGTATCCAAGTTTGTTTAGCTTATCTGGAGAATTACGAAAAGTTTTGACCCGAACTTTGGTATGTAAAATACAAGCTAGCGAAATCGATAAATTTCCTGGAGGACTCCATTTACACAAGTATGACTAAATCGGGTGTTTGCGAAGTTGTGAATTTGCAGATACAACACTATGTGTAAATTGTTCGTTATATATATATATCTGAATTGATATTTACGGTATTCTGGAATACACAATCGTCTTTCGATATTCATAACGCAATAATATATTATTGTTTTTACAGTAAGTATTAAGTATACATTCAGGTAACTGATGCATTTATCACATTTATATATTAGTTTGTTGCTAAGGGACTGAACTTTTCTCTTAAATCCTAGAAAGAAGCTCCTCCCTGCAATTTGTAGGAGCAGATAACTAAACCATTTCTATGAGACTTACCCTAGTGTCCCTTTGACCACGAAATTGCGAACTTTAGGGTAAGATACTATTCATCGGCAGCTTGACGTTCCCAATTAGACATACATGCAGTACTCAGTGTTGAAAAAAGTATGATACTCACTTGTCTACATTTTACGTTTCATAAATTATCAAACTGTATTATTTGTATTGAATTGTGTTTATTATATTATTTATAAACATATCAATCGTTTTACACGAACCTGTATTTGACAGCCATCTTAGTTAAAACAAACATATAATTCATCATACAAAAAACACATAGGCAAATGGTGTATATATGCAAATTATCCTTGTCTCTGGTTACACACGAGAAAGCGTATGTACTACGAATTTGTAACATGGTTTCAAACGATTGAAAAGATAGTCAGATTGTATGACACAGATCAAAACATTTTAATGAGTTTCTCTTTGAATTGAATTGAGTATATCGCATGCATTATGCTTTAATATAAAAACAATAGGTAATGTATGATAATGTAATTAAGCTTAATACAAATGATAGGAAAATCATGTGTAAATTTCGTTCTTGCAATATGCATTTACCCATAGAAAAAGGAAGATGGTTAGGTATTCCTCGTCCACAAAGAACCTGTACATTATGTAATTCGTACATTGGCGATGAATTTCATTACTTATTTATATGTGAAAGTGATTTAGTTAAATGTCTAAGAGAGAAATATATACCAAAATATTATTTCACTTATCCAAGTCAAATAAAAATCCAAGGGTTGTTTAATATATTTAATGTAAAAATTTGCACAAAAGTTTGTAGATTCCTAGAAAAGCTTGAAAAAATATGAACTTAATTTCTGTACAAGGTTGTGCTCCTTCTTTATGTAACTAAGCTATATACAATGTTGTATTTGTGTACATCACACGCCATGTATCATATTTACAATATGTATGTGACCTCTTGTTACACACGTAAGTGTGTCGGAGTGAATAAATAAAACTTGAAACTTGTAACTAGTAATTAGCACAAGTGTATGGTAAAATATTGTCCATTTTACCATAATTGTTTATATCCATGAACAGATTGATATTTGCTTTCATATGGAAATTATCTATCCAGAAAATATAAATGATGGTTGATTTGGTTTTTCATCACATTATTTCATTTAAAGTTGACAAAAAGGGCTTCAAAGTAGACATACGATATTGATTGTTTTTCGTCAATATTATAACAGCCTTCATTACTTACCGCATTTTCAAATACATGCAGTGTTTCCTTATAAGTTCATTTTTGTCGTTAAACGAATGATCTAGAATAACGGAATTAGAATTGTTCCTTATGAGAACTCTATTCTGCATGTGATACTCCATTTTTGTCTGCAGTCGGATTGTCGTAGCATTGATTTATAAAAGAAAATATGTTCATAATAAAAAATCGACAGAATTTCAAGTGTTCAAAGCTTGGTTGGTTAAACTCAATTATTTCAAATGGAATTCTTTCAAAAATGTTCAAGTATATTTTTCATACAACAAAGTCAAGATTTATATTTATTAGATATGTTATGTATAACGGTAGTTTTACAGTGTACACATGAAAAGAAACATAACTCTTCTAAAATTAGATGAGAAATAAATGGATTTAAAATAGAAAATTAAAACATTAAGCTAACAATGCTTTGAACATATTGATATATGAAATCCAGAAATATCAAATTGATTCCTTTTTAGAGTATACGAGCGAATTGTTTTAGCGCCATCTCCGTTCTTTACATGATTATCATTTTCTGTTAATTGACAATGACATATGTGTTACAATTGTACGCATTCGTGTATGTCTTTTACTAAAGGTGTGACGTTTTAAATTAAATCCTGTCCACATTATCATTCTCCAACGATGACGAACAGGTGCAGTTATGTGTTGGCAAAGGGGGTGCCAACCCACTCTCACTGTAGGTAAGGACCTTTCCTTGCGCAGGTTTTAGGTTATGCTTAGTCCAACTCCGTGTGTATACCACTTTTGTTTCGCGTTTCATCAATACTCATGGAATGTCACCAGTAAATATTGCACTCAGTATGTGTTTTTAACAATGGCGTGGTAAATCAATTGTAATACACAAATATAATTAAACGAGGTAACATCCAAATAGCAGATGAAAAAAGAAGATGCATACAAATCGGTAAGGCATTTGCTAATGGCAAACATTCCTAGTTTAACCGGATGTAAGGGGATTCTTATTTGAAAATCCGGTCTTTGTCACATTTATATTAATAGATATACCCAACCTTCCGACAAATAACGCGAAGATGAAGTCATTCATTTACAAAGAAAAGTGTATTAAAGCAATGCCCATATTTGTTGTTGAAAATCCATGCTTTTATAAAAGAATTTCGGTAAATAAGTTTCTAGAAATGTAATTTGTTTTATTTGGAACGGTTGTGCTTGTCACTGTAAGATAGCAATATAGGTTTCGAGTCGTGATAATTGTAATACCATGAATGATATAGGCTTGTTGTACATTTTGTCAGTATTTATGAAACTTCGTCAATAGAATTGGAAATCAGTATTTTTCTTGAACGGTTGAGTGAGATTCATCAAAATGTAATATGCAAACATAATTATGTGATGTTATTATACCTTTTATACAAATGTAACTGAGTAATGTAATAAACAAATATAATAAGGTGATATAAAATAAAAAAATTAATAGATGATAAAATGCAGAAGTGTAATGAGTTGGTGTAATATACAAATATCATTAGGTGATGTACATTATACATGTAATAAGGTGATGTTACCTATCAATGTAGTTAAATAAGGTAATAAAACAAGTAATATCAAAAGTGATTAGTTGACACGAAGTCTTATTTTATTTGAATAAGTTCCATCACGGAACATAACACCAACTTATATACATTTTTAAAACGGCAAAACTATGATAAAGAGGAGCAGACAAATGTATTTGCAGTAACCCTGAATTTAATGAGGGTTTCACCGGTAGGTACGTATTTATATTTAAATATTAACGTACTGTCCATATAATTAACTTTTTATGTTGTCTCATTTATGAAGTCGCGAGATGTGCATTAAAGTTAGTGTCAACTAGGCCTCTTATCAGTATCGCGAGGTAATTATCACCCAATAATGTAACTCGTTAATATAACATTAAATGATATAAATAAAATGTGTAAAACCAACCCCAACAATCGAGGTCACTTTTTGTCGACGTCATTGCGATGAAATTTGTATGATCAACACGGTGTATGGACGTACGTGTTTAATTGTAATTTTGTTTTAATTATTAACACAATGTTGTAACCGAAATAAATCAGATGAACATCAAGGTGATCAGGAAGCGATGTTGGTATTGTTTTTGTCATAATTTGTTATATTTTGTTTCATTTGGTTTTTTATACTCATATATTATCTTATACGAATTCAACCTTCCATCTTATTTTAACCCCGTTTGCTTATTTTATCTACAATGTGTTTTTCATGATGAATGTGAATATTATATTATTTGATCGAATTGTTGATATTACGTTTTGAAAATATCTCATGTACAAAAAAAAAACACAGAAGAAATGAACAATAAAACATGCTATTTTTAAATCACATTTCCTCGACAAATTAAAATCAGGTAACTTACATATGTTATCACCAGGTGACCAGGCAACTAATGTGCATATAATCGAGGGAAAATTTCATGACAAATGAGCATATTATCTTGTGCTTAATCCGTCTACATTGACCTGTATAGGCATCAGAGGAACTCATTATTAAAAGTATTGACCTTTTGGTAGACTGATACACAGATTTGCTTAAACGAATTTTTAAACGTACTGATGAATGAGCAGACTTGTTAAATTCCTATTCATTTCCAATTTAAATTTATAAGATATGTGCAACAGGGATAGACCCAAATGAACTTCAAACAAGTGCGGTCACAACTTAAGCCTAATAATTAATATACAATGGTAAAAGTGAACAAATGTATTTTACTAAGTTAATCTAACATTTCTCATGTCTGTTTAAAACCAAAAGGATTGACAAACCAAATAGGAACGTACGTTAATTCATCGGTTCCACATTGTAAAAATCGAAATAATAATCAAAATTATCAAAGATGCACGTTCACCTAAAAAACACTGTAAATATGTTTGGTTAAGAACAAGATGTAGTAAACAAAATCAAACCTATTGAAATTAAGAAAAACAATTAATTTGAAAGTTTTACAATACCTGACGAATGGCTTCTTTTAAGTAAAATTTACAACATACAAATATTTAGTATTTGACCGTATTCCCATTATTAATATCTAGATATGTACAATACTTATTGAACCTCTCGAATGTGATATTTGTATCGTGTATTATATTTAGAATCGGAAAAAATGGTCATTTTTAAAAATTGAGGTCATGGGTTTTCCGTTATTCATGTGGAAAATACGAGTTCTCTCCCTTTAAAAAGACCTCCTACCGAATTGTACTCAATACGGATTGGCAATGGCAGGATACAAGATATATTATTTTCTTCTGACTCTAGCTCTTGGAGGTAAGCTATTAATCTTATACATGTGTTGATTGTCTACCGTATTGCTATCTGTAATGTATATCAGAAGTATACACCGATAATATATAATAACATTCGGCCGGGAACATTTCATCATTATTCTTTATTTTAATTTAACACTTCATTTGATAATTCATTTTAATTAATTAACCTTAATCTTTTTCGATGTTTTAACAAAAGCTTTGAGTACTCTCGGCAGATAAAGTTATTTCCTTGTATTCCCAAAGCAGTGTAGCTTATTTTCTTGTTTTACCAAGGTTTTGAAACCTCTTTTTTTCTTCCTGCGTTTTTTTTCAAATTTGGTATTAGAACTTACATGTTTTTGTTTTCCTGAGAAAGTGTTATATGCAGTGTAGTTTATTCCTTGTTTTACCAGGATATTGAAACCTCTTTTTCTCCTGCCTTTTTCTCAAATTTGGAATTAGAGCTTAAATGACTTTGGTAGGTAGCGTGAATTTCCTGGGTTTTTTTTCTATATAAAGAACTAGCTTATTTTCTCGCCCTGATGTTTAATTCTTCATTTTTTACCAATGTGTCGAATCCGTTTTTCATAACAGTGAACTTTCTCAAACTTATTGCCTAATAAAAGAGCATGATTATAATTGTATCCTTACTTAAAAACATATGTCTTATACATTCCCCACTGGGTACGTTATAACACTATCTAAACTTAAATAACTGAACCGGATGTAAGGGAGGACACATATAATACAGAACCATTATTTGGGAAATCTCGTCTCTGTCATGAATATATTAATAATATACCAGACAAGAGAAAGCTGGCATGACCCCTCGTTATAAACGAAGAAAACACATATGTACATAAAATGAATATCAGTTTATTTTCTCACGATAAATACGTTCGGATCTAAATTGTTCAGAAATATTTTAAATTAATCTCTGTTACATTGTTAGAAGTCACACATGTTATAGCTGGAAGTAGTACCTTGGGCATTTCATTATTATTGAAAGAAATCAAACTAAGGTTGCCAATACCTTACAACGCAAAGAAAATGTATGTCGACGAACACTAAATTTAGGGATATTTACTTACGATAAACATGTACCAGATCTTAATCGTTAAGAGTTTCTATTATTTCTTACTAATCGAAGTAAGAAGAATATTTAACAAGAAGTATTCTCTGTTATTACTTCAAGTATAATATATTTTTTATATGAATTATTATCTGTTTTTATTGTTAGCATTATTTGTAATTATCATAAGTAGCATCAATTTGAAATACTTTGTAACAAATCATATTAGGTCCTTTTATTTGATAGTGTACAACTTTGTGCTTTGTACGGCTCTTTTCTCAATGCTTTAAAGCTGATACTTCCTTTCCCCCCCCCCGATGTATTGTTATTCCTTACTATTCCAATGCAGTGTATCCTCTTTTCTCTCGTTCTGTATTCCCCCCCCCCCCACGTTTTTCGCTTGTTTTGTTTTACCAGGGCGCTGCAGCTTATTTATCATAGCAGCAAATGATTCAAAATGAAGATTGCATGTTCAAGATAATAGTTTATCTATATTTATGAATCAATCCTAATTTTAACTGCTTCATTAACTGTCAGATCATGCTCAAGACATGTATGACACATTTTCCCACTGAGTACGTAATGAAACGCTGTTAACGGAGCCGGATATAAAGGATTTCACCCATAGCAATATTACTTGGTCATTCCCACCTCTGTTACATTTATATAAACAAAACACTACACAAGTAAAAGATGGGCGTTGTCTCATCTTTAGATCAAATCACGAAATGGGCGGAGTCAAGGACAACCATTATCAATACATTCTTCTACAAAGAAAATAGACATCAATGTAAATGAATTTCAGTAAATTTACTTACGATCAACACTTACCAGATCTAAATTGTTAGAAATTAACAGTAGTAGTTTCGGTTTTTAACAGAAGAATTTGCCTATTACTGGAAGTAGTGTGTCGCATTTCTATTTCATTAGAATGCTTTTCTTACATAACTTTTAGATAACACTTCTAAATACAACATAATGTATTATAATATCTTTATTTCTTTTACTAGAAGTAGTATCTGTTTATCTGTTGTTACTAGATGTAGTATATGTTTTTACTAGAAGCAGTATATGTTTTTTTTAGATGTAGTATATGTTTTTACTAGATGTAGTATATGTTTTTACTAGATGTAATATATGTTTTTACTAGATGTAGCATATGCTTTTACTAGATGTAGTATATGTTTTTACTAGATGTAGTATATGTTGTTACTAGATGTAGTATATGTTTTTACTAGATGTATATGTTTTTACTAGATGTAGCATATGCTTTTACTAGATGTAGCATATGTTGTTACTAGATGTAGTATATGTTTTTACTAGATGTAGTATATGTTTTTATTAAATGAAATATCTGTTTTTACTGCAAGTATTATATTTTTATACTGTACGTATTTATTTATTGTCTGTTATTACTAGCCGTAGTATGTCTCATTGTTATTTTACTAGAATGGCAATTTTTCATTTTTAACTCAAGTATGAAGAATTATGACATGTCATGGTGTAATACAAGTTAGATTGTAATTATCTGTTTGTATTAGAAGCATTATTTGTTTCATAACTAAATCTGTTTAATTAAAGCAATGACGTTTCAATTAGAAGCATTAACAATCAATGAAGAAGTGCTTGGTATACAATTATAGGTAATTTTCACTGATGAAGAACAAATTTGTATAGGGTAACACGATGCATATAATATACATGTTGTTTAAGAATAACTGTTAAATCATTAAGTACCTGTTAAAGCCGATATAATAAGAATCCGTTTCATAACGACAAATACGAAGATGTAATAGATAATTCGCCCTTCCTTTTTTGAAACTACCTGACTAATTCTTTATAAATACCATGAATGGCGTGTTGATATCCCATCGTTCTTGTGTAACAAGTCGAATAAGATTGGTTTATACTTGTCTAAATAGAAGGGAGATAACTCGTTCATTCTTAAAACATGACTTAGTTCCCCTTCCCTTATATTTTCAAAATTAAACATAACACATTTTTGAAAAACTTGTTATTATACTATCTAAAATCACAATAAAATATAGGCATGAGTTTTGTTTTATTTATAGTGAAGTAATATTAAAATGTTGAATTTTATCTATCTTTACATTACTGGTGGTAAACATACATGTTACACAATGAATGTCATACCTTTAAACATGTTTTATTTCTATAGGTATCGAAATCTCGTTCATTAACGTCCTCAATCATAATGTGGGATTTTAAAAAGAGTGTACGAGACAATATCTAATAAATAAACAGGTGTGATATTAATTTCATAAGTATCATACCCGTAAAATCACAGCTCGGAAATTCTACTTTCATTTCGGCTGTATCCTGTTAGCACCACTCCTTCAGCATATTTGTTGTCGTAGGTAACCGTGAAACTGTCTGATGAGACAAAACCTTTATTCAGTATCTAAAATTAAAATAAACGGGAATCACCAAGTAATTTTAGCTCGAATGATGGCCTCCTTCTAAAATAAGAATAGAAATCCTCATCTACCATTAAGAATTGTAACTTTATAAATATACATAAAAATTACCAGTTACATCTATTTTTATAGCTTTTTTTACATTGAAATCTTCAATTCCTCTGTGAATCTATCCAGTGATCCATTTTGCTACTGTAACTCTACACTACTAGACGTGATCGTTATAAGAACTCTGACATGGGATGCTTACGGCTCCTGGTTTGGTTACTGATAACAACAACTTCAGGTTAGATTTAATAATATATTTTCGATAATTGTTTTGTCACAACTTTAATCTGGTTTAATGCAGAAATTCTAAAAAAATGAATACATCTTAATATGAAATTTATTTTATTAGCTTCACGTTGAATTATCTTGAGAATTCAGATAGAACATTGTCCTCGTATTAAAAACAATTTACGTCTATGCATGTGACCAAACTTGGTCTTCATACTCATGAAACATCTTTTAAGATGGTGTTTATCAAGGCAGAGATTCTCATTGTATATATTATGATTGAATTTCAGCCTTACACATTCTTATAAAATATGGGCATACATTAATTCATAAAATGAAATTTGCATAGTGTCTAAGAACCATTTTAAATGTATGACTCCATGTGTTTTAGGGGTTGATAAGCTGTATACAATCAATGTTTAATATGTATGAATTTACTTAACTATGTAAACATACATTAATTGTGTTGCCAACTCATCTGTACAGTTCCGGAAACATTGTATGGTAAAGTTTGACATCTTATAAGAATTTATATCCGGAAAGTACTGAACTGGTATGGAAAGAAACCGGGGTTTAAACTAAATAAACATGTTTACCGAACTGAACACCATGACTGAGAATCATCCATGAAAGATATAATCAGTGCACTGGTCATATTCTTTAATTCGGTATGTGGTTAAGAAAGACACTCTGTCAGCATCCCTAATAAGCAGAGACGCCACATATCAACAGTTAATTGTTTAAGCTACTAATTAATCCTTTTTCTTCCGAGAGAGAAATACGATCAATTGAGGTTTGCACGCTTTGCTCTTTGCAAAAGTTTGTTTCCAATATTGTTTTTAATACTGTATAGCTGGTTAGTTCCGTGGGTCTGAATTTTCGCGATTTTTACTCATAAGGGAAATGAATATCACAAAATAATTGAACTATCGAAATAATCACTTTCTTGAAAAAGGAGAGTATCTATTATACGTGGATGTTACTACCGATGCCAACGTTTCCATACATATCTTGATATTCTTTAAAAGCGACGGAAAACATTAAACGCTATTGACATTTTTCAACTCACTTACATCAATCCACCTGTTCCTACCTGTGATCTGATTTCAGTGGTTTATTAGACCTTTTGTAAACAATACAATATCTCTCAAACAGTCGTACTTACTGCTTTAAAGGATCGTTTGCGATAGCCTACATACATGCTTGCTAATGGTGATACCGATATAGTAGTAATAGATGTCAGTATTACAGAGATATCCTACATACATGATTCCTCATGGTGATACCGGTATAGTAGTAATAGATGTCAGTATTACAGAGATATCCTACATACATACTTGCTAATGGTGATACCGTTTTAGTAGTAATAGATGTCAGTATTACAGAGATAGACTACAAACATGATTCCTAATGGTGATACCGGTATAGTAGTAATAGATGTCAGTATTACAGAGATAGACTATAAACATGCTTGCTAATAAAGATATCGGTATAGGAGTCATAGTTGGCAGTATTGCAGTTTATATCACTGATATTATTCACCCGTGCTACATGTATATTTTTATGCCGATTTATTTTTCGCAATCACGTTTCAGTCCCGAATATTTGGTATTTTCCGAGTGTATACCAATTCACAGATTGTAATGAGTTCAGTTCGGACCGGCATTTGACATATTTTTCAGACATCTATGTCGAGTTGTTATTTACATTAAAATATACACATATATGCATGTTTATCTTATGTTTCAGTCGGCGGGTTCAGCCATTTCTGCGGGATGTCTTCATACAAATTGGCTGAGCAAATCTGCTGTGACTCGAAGCTGTCTAACCTGACTCAAGATGGCCAGATTGTCGAATGTTGTACAAGTAAGTTGAACTAGTCCCCTCAATCTGACAGGTCTGAAATTTAAACAGAGTTTTCTTTAATTCGTACATTTAATTAATGGTTTCTATACATACATTTATGGTTTTCGATTAATAGAAAATAAAGTATATACTGCAATATCAATACAAACATTATCGCTTTGAATATCGCTGGAAGGAAATCCCTTTAATATATTTGAAAGAGTGCTTGGCTTGTACATCAATTCATTCAGGGGTTCGAAACCAAACAGAGGCTGTTGATGTGGTCAAAATTGGATTTAAATTGCCATCGATTATTTAAGTATAGTACATTTGTATATTTGCGGCAATCGTGATTGAAACGATATTGATCACTTCACAAACCCTAGTCATTTAAACGAATGATTTTAACGAACACAGCAAATATAGGATGGTGTAAGAGTTAGCTCCCCCTATTTAGTTTGATAGTTTTACAAATTCAAAAATGCCCTAGTCCTTTACAAAGTGTCATCAGTTAGCTAATTCGAAATAAACAATTCATTACATGCATTTCACACTTATTTTTCGTAGGAAGGTAACGTCATGGTAACTTAGCATTAATAAGTATACACAAAATATCACTCAAATACATTTAAAAAAATCATGATTCGCTGTAGTTGTAATACACTGTAATTCTTTATCCTACATTATAATTCATTGTTATACTCTATTATATATTAAAATGAATAGTAATTATAATCGCTGTAAAACTCTAGCAGACACTATAAAAAACTGGTATACTCTACCATACATTATAATGCACTGTAATGTTCCATTATGCATTATAATAACTGTAATTCTCTATTATACATTATAATACAATGCTTTAAGTATGCACTATATTTTATAGCAAGCGGTACAACATATAAACCGGGGAGTGAGCTTTGCTGTGGAGACGTTTACAATAGAACTGATTTTGAAAAGCAAAACTTCTCCTGTTGTAATGGGAAGCCTATCAAGAAAGTAGGAGAGATATGTTGCGGCGGGGAAATAATCTCATCAGAAGGAGGTGGGTTTATTGTAATGGTGAAATTTGCTTCCTTCATAAAATGTTAAACAACAGCCGGTTTCGTTAGTGAGTTATATGTCTCAAGCCCTTTTTTCTGGTCGTTGTAATACATTTTCTTACCGGTTTGTGTTTATTTATATATGGGTATGGGTGTGTGTGTGTTTGTTTGTGTGCGTGTGTGTGTGCGCGTTGTCGAAATTGTCTCGCACAGCAGGAATATCCCATGTTTCGTTCCATGCTATTTTTTTTCGATATGTCCAGCAACTTTACGTGGCATTTGAAACCAAATTTCAATAGCGATGTTTTTGGGTTATTTAATTCATAGTATTATACATTATACATATACGCACACAAAGTCAAAAGAAGCTAAAGTAGTGCAGAGGTCATATTGAATAGAGGTCAAAGACATGATATTTGTAAACTATGATAAAATAATATTGAAAAAAGACTGAAGTAATGAGGTGCGAGAAAAAAATCCATCAATTAATCTCACTCTCATGTTAATATTCTGTAATAACCAAACCCCGACTTGCGCCTCGGTTGGGATTATTTTACAGAAGCTTAGCTTTTGCATGGGATACTCGATACAGTTACAGCCGATAGATTTTATAAGATCCGCGTTCCGTCATTATTTATTCACTGAGAAGCATGTTCTTGTGGCTTAATCAACATTAAATAATTGACATTCAATTTATAGCAACGAAATGAGAAAGTATATATGGCATGCTAATTTAATTGAAACTTATTTATTTTTGCAGGCAGAGGTTGCTGTGGAAATAAATCCTATGATTTAGGAAGAGGACGATGTTGTAAAGACAAACTGTATCATAGGAAAGATTTCAAAGGAAGATGTTGCGGAAATGAAACATACGACAATCGAACACATCAATGTCACAGGAAAAACTCATTTGTCTTGCCGATATACCTTCAACGTTGTGGTACTAAAAACATAAATACAGGGACACATACCTGCTGTAACGAAGATACCCCTGTTGACATCACCGGATACAGGGGAGAGTTCCCACCTGTCTGCTGCAATTATAAAATAATTCCTGATAAAAAAGCGTTCCGCTGTTATTTAGACCGCATTCTTTCGATAAACCAGTCACTGTGTAAAAACGAAACTGATAAAGGTTAGTAAAAAAGATTTTGAAAAAAACCCCAAAGTGTGTTATTCATTATGACGAGTTGTGTTTATATCAGCAAGTCTTACCTTATCAAATGTTTTGTCGTTACTAAAATGAAATAAAATATTTCATATTCATTATAAAAAAAAAATTGAAAAGTAATAGGAAGCAAAATCATTCTAGAGAAATAGAGTTGATGTGTTTGACAAAAGTGTCTTGGTTTTTGTTTTGATTTTATGAAATTAATATTAACAATTCAAAGTCGCATGTTCAGTTTTAGAGGGAAGGGATAAGTCTGTTGCATTAATTTTCTATGAGATGTTATCTAATGATTTTGATTTCCTGGAATTCCAGGTGAAATATACAGTCTGTACAACCACCACGATCAATGGTGCTGCAATGGCAATATTGTTCAGAAAAACAGCACTTCAGGTCGGAGAGAAACATGCTGTGGGTCAGGGGTGATTGATTTATCGACACACCGATGTTGTGCCGGGAGACATCCCTACATCGACTTCGAGCACTGTTGTGGAGGTAGGTTACTATAGAAGATATGAGAGTTACGCCCTCTGTGCCAGAAACTAGTAACCTCCTCATGCATATTTCATATTTCTCTCTGGGTTTCAATTAATTTGGATGAAGCTCACTTGCCGTAAAAGCAACCAAATATTACACAGTCATAATTCAGTCCTGTTGTGAATAATCCTTTATAAACTTTACCAGAGTGATAAGCATAGACATAAACAAATGATTCAATGACACAGTAGATATCTTATATCTTAAAAGTCTAGTTTCACATTTTAAAATTATTTTTAGTGAGGATTTGACTTAACAAATACAAAAACAAATAAGTTGTTAATTAATACGAATTTATGATAAAAAAACACGTTTAATATTTGAGTGACAATTGTTTCGTTTACAGATACCGTGGTCTTCAGCAAGGAAAGGTGTTGTGGGACAGCAATACTCACTAAGGAACAAGTATGCTGTAATGAGTCGAACAAGATCTTCCCTGTGCAGAAGCAATCAAAATTTGACGATGGCTGCTGTAACGGGAAATCGTACCAAAGAGTTCGAACATGTTCAAGAGATGATCGAACACCAACATGCGGAAAACAACTGTTCAACACCAGTGAAGACAAGTGTTGCAGCAGCAACCTCCACAAAGGTGCGAACGGGCCAGATATAGAGTGTTGTGGAGCTCACATTCGTAACATAACTTATCAGGACTGCAAATATGGACGACCAAAGAACAAAACAGTAATTAATCCTAGTAACGGGTACAGCAAACCCCACCTGTGTGGGAAAAGGAATATCAGGGTTCGAAAAAGGAAAGACAAATGCTGTCATAACAGGTTCTACAAAAATGCAAAGCTCAATGGTCTACGGTGTTGCGGTGCTGAAGTATACGACAACAATACTCTGAAATGCTGCTTTGGTAAACCGGTGCCCCTGAACAGGTAATAAATTAAAACATAATCATCACATCAAAACAATAATGATACAATCTAAACAGTATAATTCCTGGAATTTGATTCTTTTGTTTTCCTTGGTGTATCGCTTTTTTTTTTCTTTTTTTTTTTTGTATTTTATATACCAATGTTGTAACTGTTCTCGTCATAACACATTTGTGAATTTAGTTTTCGTGTATACTGATGTGTTAACGACGATCCTAATATTTCAGACACATCTCGATTTATGGACGTTTATTTTAACGAATTTACTTATTTCAGAAATTAATTCAGATGGTTATTGATACATGGTTCGTAAAACCATATATAGATTACCATTACTTTATGAATATTGATACTCACCTTCGACGTTTCGTTATAACAGTGTCAGTTGCAAGAGAAGGCGCCGAAGACATAACCTCGAACGATCACAACCTTTGAGGTGTTCCCCCCCCAGCGTGGGTCCGAAGGAAAATTCTGAAGAACATAGATTGCATCCAACACGGTATATACTTTAATTTGCATTATTCAAATCACATTTAAGAGATATATTTTTTTCTTAAATTTAATGATAACAATTTTTGTAAGGTTTCAGATAACTTTACTTAACTATTTCGTATCACAATACAATATGAAAACTAAAAGATTATAACATCCATTTTAAAAGCATGTATTGGTCATTTTAATGTTGATAACGGTAATCTGGTTATCTTGTTTTTATGAATAATATAATATGATTCCCCCTTTAGCCGATCTTCAAATTCCAGAAAAAGTGTTGATTGTTTGTCTTGCCCATTGGAACTTTTAACAAAATAAATGGCCTTCTCATGTTTCTTATTCTTATAGCCTATGTCATGAGGAAAGAATTTAACGGACATAATTACCGGACAAAAAAAGACCTTGCTCTAAAGAAAAGTAAAGGAGGAACTAGGATCTGGAATGCGACGCCTTTTTGTAAACATGTTTTAAGTCATCGCCGTTTCATTCTCATCACTTTTCCATCTGGAAATTATACTTTAAAATATTCAAACAAGGCTAGAAACATTATCAAACGGGTACGACAATGTTATATTTCATAATTTCTTGAATATTTTGTTTTTTTACGTAAACCGAGGGTGCGTCTCAATCCTTTTACTCGCAAATAACTTATATGATAGTAAATATTTTAAGAAGTATTTCTTTACAAATTCATTAAAAAGGGCATTAAGGAATACTTCTGTTTTCTGTATATCTAAATATCGTCATTTTTTGAATGTCATTTATTTATTGTAATCGTACACGTTTTCATTTTTAACGTAATAATTGTTCAAAGAAAATAAAAGTTATACAAATTTGAGATAAAGCAGAACTGTATTATGCAATAATACACTCCGATCTATATATACCATGTAACCTTGTAGAATGCCACTCTGCCTGCGTTTATACCATGACAACATGGTCATTTGAAGTAACCAGAAATACATCGAAATTGTGATGTTTTGTCTTCTGAGAATGAGGTTTTGCGAACTATCGAATTCCAACAATTGATAAAAAAGTGTAAATACACTTAAAGGATTAATTTTGTCACTTCATGTACATTCCGTGACATTTGACTAAGGAAATTGTACTCTTTATATTGCAAAAAGGTACAACATATCAACCTTTAATGTCTAACATGTGTTAGGTATTTTTTTTATGCATATCTGTCTTTTTTCATTGTTAAATCAAAATACATGTAAATACTCAAAGGTGTTGATGGTTATAACGCAATCATACTTTACCAAATAATTTATGTTTATCAGCAAATTGAAATCAATTTATTAAAAAATGATGATCAATAAATATAACTTCAGCATCAACTTCCCTTAAATTTTTGCGAAACATAACCAGCAAAGTCTAAGGCGTTTTTTTTTTTTTATTTCAATCACCAATATGTACATACTCATTTTATTTATTATAATGTATCACCTTAAAATATGTCCAATCGTTCCATTAGTTTTAATGTAAAGTGTGTACTTAGCGTGATTTGATGAGATTAATCATGTTTATTGTTTATACGAAAAATGGCTATTACAGTTTTTCACACATTTACTACAACACATACAAAGTAATGAATAATATTTATTATTCCATCGTTCGTAAAATCAACAAATAGTAAAAGTATGCAAAAGGGAACGTTATCTAGATGTTAATTTATGTTTTATCTATAAATTGTTACAGTTTCCTAGGCACATTGTACACACATAAACAGTTTAGATAATATCTTGTTTACTTTTTATCAATGAAAACAGTTTAGATAATATCTTGTTTACTTTTTATCAATGAAGATGGTGAAAATTGTTTTATCGTTAACAAAGATACAACAATACAAGCATCATATAATTAAACAAAACACTTGCATATCAAATAGGAAAGATCGATATTTCTTTCAAAATTTGGTATTTTAGTTATATTTCTCATGCACTTTTGTTGAATAAATGGTGCCTAATATATATATAGGAAATTATACTTTTAAATATATTTTAATATATGTTATTCTGGCCATTGAACTTTTGTCAGTGTAAGTATGACCATTCAATACTACGGTTCAGACAATTGTAACATTCCATTTACATTTAAACATAACCAAATGCCATTACAAAATAATAGCTGGAGAATCACTGTTTAACTTCAAGGTTACCTCCGATTGCATTTATCTATCATTCCGTTTAAATCAAATGTTTAGAATCGTTATTACGGGTTTTAATCGTACATCGCTAATTAATTATATCTTTCCGTAATAACATCAAATGTGAGTAATGTTAAATCAAAATCCTTTCAAACATTCCTATCTATAACCATCCAATATCATATTGATTTGATATCAGTTTAATTAACATTTAAACATCAGTATTAAGTATACTTATTGATTATATAGTTATAGTTAATCAGACAGTCAGAGCGAATTGCTCGACGTTTCTCAGGTCGATTAATAATTAACCACCAGAGTGGTCATTTATAAATAGTAACCATATTGCTATGTCTACTTTCATTTTGCCTATACAATGCAGGTAGCTAGTGTGGTTATTAAAGGGTATATGTAGTGTACAAAGGACTTATTCACGTCATAACATTTTAACTTCCTGTTGTACAGGAATGATTAAGCATTTAGAAATTCAAAAACTATTCCCCAAATGTTTCCAACATTTGCCAAAGATAGAAAACCCACCTCACGAAAACTAGTCTGAATACATACAAAAAGTAGCAAATCCAAGGATACCTGATCACCGGTAAGTATAAACTGCCGGGTAATACCACATTTGTGATTACGACGTCGTCTGCCTTATACACGTAGACGATCGGTTGTTCTTCATATCCAATCAGGTTCGAGGTTACAACTATACAGGGTATTAGTTCTCCATTCACCTAATCACTGCCATGATAAGAATGTCGATGTATGTGGGGATAATCAGATTAGGGTGTGTATATATATCACCTAGTCAGATTACACGAATGAATGAGTTTTAAATGAATGAACGAGTGAATGAATTGACTGCATTCTACAGTTTATTAAAGATTCATATTATAAACTATGTGGTAATGAATACGTTGGAATAAATTATCCTTCAATGAAAAGCATTTGAAGTCTCAGTTTTTACAATAAACATTTTATTTATCACACATGTGTCGTGTCTATAACTTTGCACATTCAAGTTACAAATGTCAATGTTTTGTTGTAAATTTATTCAAAGCCATTATAAATTATAGTTATAAACTTATTGTTTTTGTTTTAGTTACAAGTGTGCAAATTTCTTTGTCATAAGTCTTTGTTTGAGTTCTGAAAACAAACAGACAAATCTCAACGTAAGCAGTGAAGTTATTTATAGTATTCATATGTTTTATGTTTTCTCTCTTTATCTGTTGATGATTTTACTTGTACTTAAACAGGTAATGGTAATTATAACTTCAGGTTAACTGATCCAGAATCAAATGTGGAGAATCGGCTAACTAGGAAGTGAATATATATCTAATGACACTCATTTTATATTCTTCTACTGTTCCAATAGAATATAACTGGTAAAGGAACTTCAACTATAAAAAAACACTGATTCAAATTTAAGCACTGAACTTTTGTCAGTGTAAGCATGACCATTCAATATGGATTCCTTGTAAATTCAACGTTAAGCGCAATATTAACAATGATTGAAATATATGAATATAGTTAGCTCTATTGTATAAAAGTTAGTTCTTACTTAAATTAGAACAGATATTCTTCATATTTTATCGCGACCAGGGGAGATCTGTGATGTCCAATATCCAGAATAATGACATTAAATATCTGGTCATGACATTCACAGGCTATGACATTCACAGGCTATGGCATTCACAGTCCATGATAACCATGACCTTCACAGGCCATGACCTTCACAGGCTATGACATTCACAGGCTATGACATTCACAGGCCATGATAACCATGACCTTCACAGGTCATGACATTCACAGGCTATGGCATTCACAGGCCATGATATCCATGACCTTCACAGGCCATGACATTCACAGGCTATGACATTCACAGGCCATGATAGCCATGACATTCACAGGCCATGACATTCACCGGCCATAGCATTCATCGGCCATGACATTCATCGGCCATGACTTTCACAGGCCATGACATTCACAGGCCATGATAGCCGTGACCTTCACAGGCCATGACATTCACCGGCCATGACATTCACAGGGCATGACAATCACAGGCCATGATAGCCATGACATTCACAGGTCATGGCATTCACAGACTATGACATTCACAGGCCATGACATTCACAGGCCATGACATTCACCGGCCATGTCATTCATCGGCCATGATGTTCATCGGCCGTGACCTTCACAGGCCATGACATTCACCGGCCATGACATTCACAGGGCATGACAATCACAGGCCATGATAGCCATGACATTCACAGGCCATGACATTCACAGGCTATGACATTCACAGACCATGACATTCCTAGACCGTTACATCTACAACTAATATGATTACCTTTTAAATCAAGTAGAGCTATATTTTCTACAAATACATAATAAATACCGTTACTATGTTATATAGATATGGACAGATATAGCACGTCGTAACCACATAAAAACAATGCCACAATAACATAAACAAGAGGCCCAGAGGGCCTGTATCGCTCACCTGGATACCTTAGCAATCATGGCAAAATATTCTCCAAATGAGATCAAGGGAATATGCTAGACCCCAAGGCCAATCCTTGTAGCATAACTGTATTAGATTTTGTCATGCCCAGCAATTTTATGTATGGTTATGGAGTGGGGATCTCAACTATTTCCAAATTTTGACTCAGAAACTAGGTCCCTAGGGTTGTGGCCAGATCCCTGGATCAATTCTAATATCGTGACTGCATTTGTCTCTTTTTGCCCAGCATTTGTATATATAGTTTTGGGGTGGGGATCTCAACCGTTTCAAAGTTATGACCCAGGGGTTAAGTCTGCAAAGGTGGGGCAGACCCTGGGGTCAATTCTAATATCATGACTGCATTCGTATCTTTATGCCCAACAATTGTATATATAGTTTTGGGGAAGGGATCTTAACCATTTCGAAGTAATGACCCAGGGGTTAAGTCTTCAAGGGTGGGGCAGTCCCTAAGGCCATCCTGGAAGCATATGTGCAATCATCTTTTTACGGTTATAGGGTGGGGCTCTCAACTGTTTCCAAGCTGTGACTAAGAAACTAGGTCCCTAGGGGTTCGGTCAGACCCCAGGGTCTATTCTGATATCATGACTGCATTCGTCTATTTATGCCCAGCATTTGTATATATAGTTTTGGGGTGGGGATCTCAACAGTTTTAAAGTTATGGCCCAGGGACTATGTCTCCAAGGGCGGGGCCAGACCCTAGAGCCATCCTGGAATCAAATGAGCATTCTTCTTTTTATACTCAGCAATTGTATACCATGGTTATATGGTGGGGATCTCAACCATTTCCAAGTAATACACTTTTTTGGCCCCACCCCTTAGCTCGGGATGTGAGCCCCACCATTTGTACAATTTTGAATCCCTGCCTCCCATGAATGCTTCCGACCAAATATGATCAATATCCATGGCATAGTTCTACAGAAGAAGTCGTTTATAGCAATATAGCCAAATTGCCCCCTTTTGGCCCCGCCCTCAGCCCCCTGGGGGTCAGCCCCACCATTTGTACAATTTTGAATCCCCACCACAACAGCAACTTCACTTTTGGGACAACAGTAAATATCCTTTGACCACCATGGTAGCTCAGTTGGTTAGAGCAATATCATAACAAATCTTAAAGCCAGGGTTCTAATCCCTGTCTGGTCCTTCTAAAGGTTTCACATCTGAACACTGTTGTTGATTATTCTTTATTCTTATTTCTTCTCTTTTATTTTCATAAAATGCCGCAAGGTATGGTTTTCTGTTCAAAAATGATTTATCAAAGATATAGACATTCCTGAACAAGTGACCCCTGTGAAAAGCCCTACCCTGAGGTCAATTCTTCTACAATAGAAACCTTTAGTGGAGTCTACGTACAGATCCTATCCGTAGCAAGACATCCCCCAATACTTTTGTCCATGGATCTGTGAAAAGGTGACTCCTGTAAAAGTGACCCATATCACAGAAAAAAGAAACATCAACGTAAATGCACGAACATAAACCGATTATTTTTAATTTATTCTGCCGGAGGATATTTCTAGTATGCTCGTCCGCCCGTCCGCCCGTCCGCCCGTCCGCCCGCCTGTCTGTCTGTCCGTCCATCCGTCAAAAACCCTTTCAACCGGCATCGATACAGGTTTTTCAGTGGTGCAGGGGTTCTATATGATATAGATCAGATTCGTTACTTTTACCGATATTCATATATTTAATGGGTATGACACATCTCATTAAATAACGTTCTGTGCAGCAATGGCGGTATAGAGTTAATTCACGGTAGATATTGTAAACAAGAGATCTCAGAGGGATCTTTGATAAATGTAATTTTGTCAATAGCAAATGTAGTCAAGGTAATTTTCTATCAACATTTGTCTATTACTGGGTTTGAATTTGTCCTGTCAAAGTGAGGTCATTGTTCATTGTTTACGACTTGAAAAAGATTGAACCCTCAAAGTTCAAGGTGGCTGTCTGGTGACCATTTTGCTTTTCTGATCACTCCCAAAATTAAATAGACACAGCAGCAATGAACCACGCAGAATCTCCGCATGAATCATTAAAATAAAACGAATTCATGGAATCCATGGACGCATTTCTTTATCTGCCCACCTCATTTTCATTTTTTTTTCTCTCCTTTTCATGTTTTCTTGCCAAATTCAATGTAAATAGTGAAAGTTAAACTTACGGGGAAAACCATATGAACTCTTATATAAAAGAAAAAACCGAAATATTCCAGAATGATAAGCATTTCCTGCGCCACATGTGGTACCAGTCGTAAGGTTGTTATATTTTCAAGGCTACCAAAGATCGAAGACAGTGTAAAGAGTAGTACTATTCAGACTAGAATCACTAAAATGGACGATAATATTTTACATTATTGGTCTTAAGACACTTCATTTGAAGTATGCTGATACGACGCTTTCCTATTCTACAGACAATTTAAAACGTTTCTATAACGGTGTAAACCAGTCTAACAACAAAACTAAAACGGTTTGGATTTGTTCCTTGCTCTTGAGGAAGTTGAATTTCTTTGCGCGCAATCGGAAAGTCCTGTAACGACTGTCGTATTTTTGAAAAACAAAATTGTATTTCTTTTTCTTTTGTGTAATGAAAAACCCGTCTCATGATGATTTCAAACATACCTACTTCCCTTTCCTCCCAGTCAACAACAAGGACAACCAAGAAGGGGTGCATGAACGCCTCTAAAAGTAACAATAGCAGCTAACAATGGGGTTACAATACACGCAAACAAATATAAAAGACAGAATGCCCTCCGATGACGACGAGACATGTGACCGTGAATTCCGTAGCAGCGACAAAAGTCCTTTTCCATTCAGCGTCACAGTGGATGAGTTACTACAAGTATCTTCTTGTCAAATCAGTAACTCGGATGAAACAAAAGGGGGTAAAAGTGCGAAGTCGTCAAAAAGATGATTGTTCATTTTCTGGTTATCTGATCAAGATCAATTCTATAATAGGCCTAAAAATAATGCTAAACCTGTATATAAAGTTGAAAGCACACGATCTTGCAAGGTAAAATTTGCACAAGATGCCAAGTATGCATTCTGCGCTTGGAGTTCTGTTCTTGTACTTGGCTTTAGGTAAGTTTAAAACTTTAATCCTGTAGGTTTTTCACTTAACAACAGAAATAGTCTGCCTCATTAATGACTTTTATTATCAAACTTACTTTTTATATTATAAGCAACAAATGACTAGAACGTATTGAAAGATAAACTTTTTTGTAAACACATTCCATATCATCAGTATATAATTCAAAATCCTATCCAGTGTAACATGACAAAAGTTAAAATATTATAATTGAAGTCACCTGAAGACACGAGCCGACTCGGTTGACACAAGTGTGTGTGATCGGATAGTACAGCGGTATGCGCGCTTTGCTCTACTAAAGTCGGACACACGGGGTTCAATACCCCGTTCGGACGTGAAAGGTACAGGGTGTCGGGCATGGTTTTCACGCACATTTAGACTCCTTGCGTGCTATTTGGTTCTAGCGATTAATTATACACATTTTTTTTAAACAGTGAACATGGTGTCTGCCACGACTGGCCACAGTGGAGATGGCACTTGTGACATAATGACTGACCGTGTTGAACAGGAAAATGACACGTATGTTGGGGAAAGTAAGTTAAAAAAGGACAAGTATTTTGTTATTCAACTGGTAGTCATACTTCCAATAACAAAATGTTATTACAACTATCATAAGCTTCACTATTCTGGGACAATAAAGACTTTGGTAGATCTTACTCTAGGTTTATTATCGTAACACTTATTTGACGCTAATGCTTGACTTAATCTAACTGTTTAATTAATAGTATTGATATTCCTTTTTAGTTTATAAAAGGTTGATGACTTTGCTGGTGGATTGTTTGGTTCCCAAGGTTTGCTGTAACCTTCACAGTCACAGCTACGGTTGAAGACTTTACTGGTGGATTGTTAGGTTCCCAAGGTTTGCTGTAACCTTCACAGTCACAGCTAAGGTTGAAGACTTCACAGTCACAGCAACCTCTTTCACAGCTCTCTTAACATTAACAGTTAAACCACCGGTTTGCCAAGTATCATAATTGATGTCGATTTTATATGGCCGACTCGCACATGTTTCACACCTTTGTGTATATACGTTTCACTGGTCATTTGTCTGATGAAGATGACAGGATAAGTACCTTACTAGTCATCGAAATGTCACACCTAAACAGTGATACATAACCTTTTTTGCAATTCATACTTACCTACAAGGGGAAAATGGTTTAGAAATTTGCCATGTATTTCTTCACATTAACCGTTTAATAACTTATCTGCCCTGTCCTGCATTTAAACTTCTCAAGATATTAACCGTCTAGCGACTTTGTTGCCCCGCATGAAATTTTGATTTTTTGTTGACATCAACCGATTAACCACTTTGTTGTCTGCATGGAATTTGTTTTTTGTTGACATTAAGCGTTTTAACACTGTGTTGCCCTGTACAGTTTCTCTCGATAATAAGCATTTGATTTATACTTGCCTCTGTTTGGCCCTTTATCTCTCATGAAATTAACCCCTTAACTACTGTTGTTTTTCGGTGTATGTCATCTCATTTCTTATATTAAAAAATCTGTCGATTAGCTGTTCACGTTTTGTAGTATACATGCAATGAAGTATTATGGAACAATTTATATTAATCTGACTTTTTTCTGTGATTTAGGAGCTAGCTGCTGTGGGGAAGTTCTTTTCCAATTCGACACTCAAATGTGCTGTAATGAAACAGTATATGACGGCGTTACGGACCAGGAGTGTTGTGGTAAAGATAGATTCAATGTGAAATACGAAGTGTGTCCTTCAAATAAGAGCATGGTACATGGTGATTTAAAGTTATGTGCCAACGATTATTACCATTCTGGTTTTCGAAAGTGCTGTGGCCAAAATACATACCCCGTTGATGATCACGTTCAGTGTTGTGGGGTTCATGTTCATGACACGAGAACAAGCACGTGCATTGATGGTAAGATAGTCGATCTCTTAATGGAATGCTGTGGCAGTTCAACGATGAATTCTCGTCATCAGCTTTGCTGTGATAGCGGATCCGGTGAATATTTCCCCGTAGATAAGAGCGAGCCGGACGATGACCGATGCTGTAGGACGGACGGTAGGACGTACTCCAGTGTAACACACCACTGTGGTCCAGAAGGGGTAGAGCGGCGACACTTACTCATATCTCTGTGCGGGAGACAGGCGTACGACCCAGTCAGGGACATCTGCTGTGATGGATTTGTGTACAGAGGGGGCAAAACAAGACGACTCAAGTGTCAGGATATCATAAGGTTTAATGTTTATCTTACTAGTCTGGAATAATATGATTTGCTTCTTTGCGATGCTATTACGTGAAGAAAGTCACACCATCTCATAAATGCAATAAACAGTGGTTTAATGCGGAGCAAAAGAAAGGCGTATATAGATAAATACATAGCACAATGCTCAAAACTGTAGCCAGTGCAATGAAAGAATGTCACGGATAAAACTAGAATAAATGTACTATTGATAATTTTCTCTTTACATTTCTTCTTAGGAAAATACCCCCATCGTAGTTAATATTCAGGAAATTCAGGTAATTAATATAACTTTAAATCAAATCTTCTTGCTTTCATATTTGGTAAGGTGGCAAATAAGTAGTCATAATATTATTTTTTCTATAGTCATGTATCACTTACGTATGTCTTTATGCAAATTGCAGTCCTACGCCACACGCCCCTGTTGAAGTGATATCTCATCTTGCCTGTTCTGGCCAGTGTTCAATCTTAACAGTAACGCAAGTACATCAAATATACAGGTGTCCATTCCACGGTAAGTCCTTAAATAATAAAACACTTTTACTATAGAATGGATTAGTTATTACTTTAAAACGGATGTCTATGCCTATATTAATATTTAAAACAAAATCATATTGCTAATTATATCATCTATTCGCTGGGTCCTGTACAGTTACATACTGGTTTGAATAAATGGCTTATTTATTGGGTCCAAGTATCGTTGAGGAGATATTATTGGAATATTCAATTCATGATTGTTAGGTGCACTTTTGCGTTTTTTGTGTGTGGCGAAGTAGGTTAGTCGTATAAAATAAGTACAAAAATTGTATAAATTGTATATCTATGTACTGTAAAGCACTTTAAGAGTGGTTTATGTTAGCTAAATAGGGCGCTATATCAAATGTTGTATATTATTATTATTATTATTATTGGCTGTAAGCGATATGGCAAATCAAACGCGAGCCATTATATTGAGGTAAAGTAGCCACTAACCACCAGTAGTTTGTTATAAGGAGAGGTTTACTATAATTAATTTGTTACATTTAACCAATAATGCTGTGATAGCTATTACACATACATAATGCAAGGGATTTCTAAATGAAAAGTTTTTCTTAATTGTTGACGCAGAAATATATATATTAAAATGTATTTCATAATAATATATGACTTGTTCAAATAACGTTATTTTATGCCTTTCTAGTTGCACAACACCGTTTGTTTTTAATCTGTTTGGTGATAACTTCAAAACTATTTTAATGACCAGATAGTATTGATGTTTTTACAAGAAATGTTATCAATTGTCAAACATGCAAGATTAGATCCAACTACAATTCAAATATTTCTGCTCACACTGAAATAGGTATTGAGGCATTTCTGGTGCATATTTAGTGCATATCATATGTTTTAAATGTTCAATCAAAGACTAGTTGTTTTTCTCTTTCAGCATTAATTGCCAAACGAATACGAAAGTCGAAGCATAAATCAGGAGGTCATCGCCGCTACCTTGCAACCTCTGACATTATGACCCCTGAGGATGTCAGAGGTCATGAACAAAGAATCTTAAAATTTTCACAGAACTGCAAATCATGTATACCAAGATCAAGGAGTGTAATCGTAGTTGTGAACGACTTGACGACGTCCATGAACACTTTCTCAATAGTGAAAAACACTAAAACGAATCGGAAGTACTTAAGGAAAATATGCAACTGATTTTAAGGGTAATTTTGACAAGATAAGAAATGCATCGCCAAAACTGTATGTCGAACTCTTGATTTTTGTAAGCGGCAAATAAAATAGACTGGTTCTAAAATTCTGATGATAAACTTTCTTTTTATACGAGGACAACGGAGCTATTCTTCCAGCACATCATACACAAAATACGTCAAAGTAACTTTTTAAGATGTAAGTGAATTTCACGAATGAATACTCACATATAAATATGCTGACATTTCCCAATGCCAGTGGTGCTAACCTATGTCGCATGCGGCAATTGCGATAACCCTTTTGGTCGCCATTGTTTTCCTCTTCTGAGGCAAGATTTCCTTTTCATGTAGCATTCAGATTGCGTTCTGTCTTCCTTGTTTTTATTAATATCCTTTTAAGGCAGTAGACACCAATGGCGGCGAAATTGTTGTTACCCCCGCATGTGACACAGGTTATAATCCCTGTAATACATACATTTGAAGTAGTGTTCATTTAGTTACTCCCCAAATGGGGATACAAAGGTTTGCGTTAATATACCGGGTGCGACACAGATTAGCTATATTTAGCAACAGTAAAATCACGACACATCAAACATTACCGCGGTTATGCAATACCCATGGTATACATGTGATGAAGGATGGGACATTTGTATAAAGTTTTGTAGTGAAATATGTGGTTAATTGATTTTCTACTTTATTGTAGATCACATGAACAAGCAACATGTTTACAACTGAAAGAGTCCAATGCTCTAATTCCTTAATAAATATATAAACGATATTCTTGGTTTGGAAACGAACCATTTTTACAAAGCGGTTTCATGAGTACGCAGCATGAGTGAAAAAGAAAAGTAAAATATTCAACCCACATAATACCAAGTGTAAACCAATGGGGTTCGGAGAAAAGCATTCCGTCCCTATTAAAAAACATTAAGACAAAGAATGTGGTATAACGACGTCGTAATAAGCAAATATCGGGGCTTCTGTGGGCATCAACATTTACATAACTGTGTAACCGTGCTCTCTGATTTGTCAGTTTAATGTGGAAATAACAAGATTATATGTCATAGTGTTGACCAACATTATATCTACCATAAAATCATATAATTCAAAGGTATTTTAAAACACAGATTAAAGTTAAGCTGTATTTCTAACGTAACTTTAGTTGATGCATATCAGAATCTTTGAAATTATTTAACAACAATAACACATACTTTTCGTTCGCAAAAACACAATCAATGAAAGTATATGATAACAATAGTCAGTCGTTTATCTAACAGCTAAAAAATTGCTTCTTAAGCATAGGATCAGAACTACATCTAAAGTATTGGGTATCTGAAGTATTTTTATAACTGCCACTGACTTTGTGTATCGTCAAGTACGCTTCTGTTTAATCTACACATGTGTAGGAAGTGCTTTGCTAACAAAAAAAAAGAGTGCAAGGTTGACAAAAGGACAGGAGTTTTAAACGACCTCGGGTGTGTGCTGTCTATATGTGTAGAACCTCGGGTGTGTGCTGTCTATATGTGTAGAACATGTACACAGAGAGAGGTTAGGTCCCATTGCTTCACTAAGTGGGCGGTTACATCTGTGTCCATTCCTTATTTGGTAAGATCGAAACGACCGCTCGATACACGGCATTAGAATCGCGTGTGGGACAAGATACAGTGAAATAGTCGGTAAATCCACCTCTCACTTTGTACAGGAGACACCCACGTGTCTGGAAAATGTGAGGTCATGCCTGCTAATATGAAGTTTTTGCCACCTACTCAGTGTTAACCTGTCGTGTTCCTGTCAAACAGGCTCTTGGTATCATAACTGAATTCATGTATTTTATGTGAAAAAATTCCAAGGTAAACTGCAACATAATGGAAATTCCTTTCAAAAATATAACATCTCATCGATGTTACATAATTATTTTCCCCAAGAAATTGAACGTTTTTCCAGATGAACTGAAATAAACTGAAATATATATTATATATATATATATCAAACCCTAGATGTGGCATCTCATTAAGGTATGCTACAGTTTAAATAGTATATGGATTATAAAAAGAGCATTGAATATAAATACAGTACGTCAGCCTTAAATTTTTGCAAATGTAAAAAGGGGATTATCAAGAGGGGATCAAGACATGGTCCTCTTGAAAGTAAAAAAAAAGAAGGAAATACGTAAAAAATAGAAAAACCATTTAATGAAAAGCAAAATAGAACAATATAGCCCAAAATGTCTTATTAATTAGAGGCCGAGAAAAGTCTACATATTTAAATTGATATTCAGATGAAGTAGATTGAAGATACCCTAAAAATGCCCCCTCCCTCTACTTTTCTTCCTTATTCAGAATCCGCTCATGTACAGATTTTTTCATTCAAATCATATCTCAAAGTAATCAGTGTGATAATCTTATATAATATCAAACTGGGTCAAGTGTATGGAGAAATGTGTACAAGTACCGGGACATCATTTGGCCGGGAGAGAAAATGTGTTAAACTTGTTAACATATCTCGTCCGCTGTAGCACTTGTGGCGATATATAATACAAGGGTTATAGATAAGGTAAGTACATCTGCGTGAAACCACACATATCGTACTAGGATATTACAATCCTTTCACCAAATGTCGGGGAGCATGTTCCTACATACACAGTGAAAGTTACACCACCAGGTTTGGACTTGAGTGGAGTAAAACCTATCACCCACGTAGTTCAATTTGAACAATAGGAACAATTTGCAGTAAGGGTATCATTTTTTTAATCGCGGGTATAAATACTATGCCGATCTTCGAAGATGGAAATTTTCTGTTTGCACACCTTGACTTTGTCCTAGATAAGGCACTCCGGTATGATTAAAAACGACCCTATTATGGTTCGTTTCTATAATGTTGATGTATCGAATACACCACAGCATACCTTAATACCCCACAGTAATTGTTTGTTTGTTACGTCCTCGTAACAACTTAAATCATATGCAGTTTTTGCAGTGTATGAAGATCATGGGGCCAATCAAGGGCCATTGTAAATTGTCTTCCCACTGAAATATCATATCACGGACAAAGTATCACAACACTCCACACGGTCAAATTATTCGGACAACAAGCTAGCCAGTGATGCCTAAAGAAGCCACTAAAGAGAAAAAAAATTAAAGTGTGTATCACACATCAGTTATGATTGATAATGTAACACTTATATTTCACAGGCGTTCTTTTTTAGTTGTATTCTCGAACCGGTACAAATTAACGTCAAATATTTAAGTTATTAATGTCACTGTTAATACCACTATACGGTACCATTGATCATATACTATAATCACACTTCTGTATACTATATACTATATAACAACTATCCTGTACTTTAATCACACTACTGTACACCATATAACCACTATCCTATACCATTGATCATATTCTGTAATCACAATACTCTATACTATATAACCACTAGCCGGTACCATTGATCATCTACTGTAATCACAATACTGTATACTATATAGCCACTATCCTGTACCATTGATAATATAATATAATCACCCCACTGTATACTATATACTATATAACAAATATCCTGTTCTTTAATCACACTACTGTATACTATATAACCACTATCCGGTACCATTGATCATATCATATAATCACACCACTGTATACTATATAACCACTATCCGGTACCATTGATCATATACTGTAATCACAATACTGTATACTATATAACCACTATCCTGTACCATTGATCATATAATATAATCACAATACTGTATACTATAAAACCACTATCCGGTACCATTGATCATATACTATAATCACAATACTGTATACTATATAACCAATATCCGGTACCATTGATCATATACTATAATCACACTACTGTATACTATATAACCACTATCCGGTACCATTGATCATATACTATGATCACAATATTGTATACTTTATAACCACTATCCTATTCAACTGAATAACATAATTTTATTACTATATTTTACCACACTCATTAAGATCAGAAAGTTTACGACCATGTCACCTGATCGTGTTGACTGATTCACAGTACGTCTATTTAATGATATATATATATATATTTACTTTACAAACATTATTTGAACGTGTTCATATAAAGTTGACATCGTTGTGCAAATTTACACATACCATATTTTTAAATGCTACCATCGGTCACAAATAGACAATATGCGTTTAAAACAGTACATATCAAGGTTAAATGTCATTTTAATCTCTAATAAAGGTCACCATCTGGACTATTTTCAAAACAGTGCCAGCTGAATGACAGTTGATTTAATGTGTTTCAGAGGTACATATGGGCTGCATTTGTATCCTTTCATCTAACATTGTAAGGAAAGCATTTCGACCTATGTTCTTATGTTCGCGGCATGGCATCTAATCATCATGGTTTTAGGATAGTGAAACCAAAACTCTATATTTTGTAAAACTGTTTATTCTTTGGTTATTTAAAAAGTATAGTATTTCATATACAAATAATCAACACAAATAAAACAATAATAAACCAATGTAAACTTATACAATGTAAAAGTATCAAACCACAGCTTAGACTAGGTCGTCGTCCTTTGAGGTATGAAAACAGGCAATCTAATCCAGCAAACAAAGAATTATATAAATATCTTATACAACTTGATGGCTACTAGACAACATCGGTTTTAGAATAAGTGGTGATCTAAGATTATGGCGGATTGATGCCATTCGTGTCTACTTCAATCTTAATAAATAACGTATCTTCTTGGAGGTAGGTTTTTGTTTCAAGCACGGCCTGAGAAACAAATACAGGACATCCTGACGCAATATTCATCTCGGTCTGTGGTTTTCTGAAGCTATTGCTGTTAGGGTCAGGTTTGAATGAGTCCGACAATTTATGTTTTCCTGTGTCCTGGTCAAGTAACATCAGGGTGACCTTCTGTTGGAACGGCCACGGAAGTAGAGAGTCGAAGTCGCCTCTCATCACCACAAAGAACAATGACACGTGAGTACCTTTCCCCATACCGTCGCCATTGAGGTAGACACGAGCACACATTTTGTAGCCAAATTGACTGGTATAAAAAGGTTGGCTGTAAAGGGACAGAGTCCTTCCATTTCTTGCCTCTTGTTTCCTTCTTGCGTAATCTCGTAATTTCCAAATCAACATACCATTAAAAGAAGCTGTTTCATGAATTTGAAGTCTCAAGTCTAATTCAGATAGACGAATATCCATTAATCCAATCTGTCTTTCATGAGTCTGTAATTTGCTACCAACATTACCTTGAAGTAAATTAAAAAATATATATATCTTGTTAAGTAAGCAATAAAGCATTCAGACATAAGATTGGGTTGAAAATAATAATAATAATAATAATTCCTTTTTATTTTCAAGTAATTATTAACATTTCATGACATAAACATTACTGTAATTTCAAAACTTTTTCTATTTCTCCTAGTCCTTCCACTTTTCTGGAATCCGTTCTAATTTAAATGATTATTCAAATTTTATTGGTCAGACCCCAATTAATCTGTCGTCATCAAGATTTTTCGTTTGATATTGGGGACCAATTTTCACGATATCTACTATAACAAAGGGATAGTATCGACTTTCTCTAGCCAATTAAGGAACTCTTCAATTACGAAGAAGACGATTGCTGTACTTAAGCCCAAAAAGTACGTATTTGAATAACATAACTGTTATAACTAAATATTCCTTATTACTAAAAAACGTTTTGTCATAAGTGTAAATGTCGACTTATGCAGCACCGTCGTGCGATTACCCAAACAACACGCCAATCTCTAGGACATGCAGGAGTAAACTGTTCACTAGCACCAACCTCCCACGCTCATTCCATCAGCATTGCCCAGGCCATTCTGTTCGATCCGTGTCACCCTGTTAGATAGGTTTGTCTGTCCGTCTCGAAGAGTCTGTATTTCGTTACCCTGTTTATCTACCGTGTCTTTCCTCGCGGTATCCTCAACTCTTCTCTCCAAGTGGATTAGTCGTTCGGCGACGGCAACAGATTGTAACTTGAAACAGTTTATATATCTGCGTCAATAATCTATCAATCGACGGATCAGTAACGCCAAAAGTTGAATAATCTAATCGCCAAAACTCCGACCGCATCCAAAAATCCCGTTATAGTATCAAAATCTTAAAATGGTACTGATATTGCCACGCAGTTGTAGGCCTAATTATGACTAATGACATGCAATACAGATGTACTTACATATGTGCATATGAATAAATTTCATGATCAACGGTGCAAATCAACGTTGTTTCAAATCGTGATCTTAATATCAGAATTTGATATCATAATAGAGAAAAAAAACACCGAGTGGTCAATTAATGTCACTGGAAATGAAACTTTATACAAACGGTGTCGTCATGGCGACAGTATGTTTAGTGTAAGGTTACCTTGACCTCCTTAATCGCCTTTTTCCTGGCTTCCATTCCCTCTCTCAAGCTGGTCACTGCAGAAAGACACTGGTCAACGGTCTTTTTGAAATTTCCTTGACTTTCTGACATATCCTAGAAGATCGTTATATTTATTTATTCTTGGTTTTTTGATATGTCATAATATATATATTTATACAGTAAAATTTAAATAAATCGAAAAAACTGCTGAATATTTTCGTTCATGTTAATATCAATTTCATAGAAGGAGCATCATGTCCACTTCGCTATTCATCACCTTTTTCGATGAGTCGTCAACAGAATTTCACAAACCATACTACAAAGTACCACATTGTCCATTCCTTCAATGTAACAACCAGAGAGTCTAATAAAGAAATAAGTTGATTTTCTCTCTTTTTAAAACTTATGATATAAAAGATGTACTAAATGAATCATCCAAATATAGGTTGTCGTAAACGGCGCACGCATACATTACCGGTTGTTTTTATTACCCAATAAATGTATTGTCTTTTCTTCGGCGAAAGTAATGAAATGATTTCGACTTAAGAAATTCTATTGAATATTTAAAGCGTCCTCCCAAAAAAGAATATTATAAATTAAAGATGTGTGGAATGAACGAAAAGCACGTTTTTGTTTTGTTAGAAACATGATATAAGTCAAACGAAAATTTATATATTTTTACATAATTTTTAGTATTCTGTGGGACACGTATTAAAAAAACCAAGGATGATATTTCGGTGGAAGGCCAATAACGACAATACACTTACTTGAAGTTCTCTCCGAATCTCCATACTCTGGAGGTCAACACTGGCCGTATACACAGTGGTCAACTGTAGGTGATGGTCAACTGACCCCTGTTCGTGCTCCGTCACATCTTCTTTTAAACCCTAGTGCCATAGATGAAACACTCATTGTATACCGAAAACGTATATTTTTAACTATAAACTATATAAATTTATTTCAACATTAACAACGAAATACCAAATTTGATATAACAAATTAAGTGCGATTTTCTTAAATGGTATCGAAATTGATCTCATATACAAAAAGTACACTTACTTTAAAATCACAGCCAACATTTCTAAACTTACAATGAAATGGTCTGTTAGGGCAATCTGGTGTATGGTCCTTCAGCTACAGTTTAAACATTTCAGAAATAACAACAACATGCAATTAATAACAGTTAGTTGATTAGCAGTTGTATATAATCATGTTATGTCTGAATCCATTTCCTTTTGAAATAAATAAAACGTACCTGATCAACAAAAGGGTATTAGTTACATACTAGATTCCGATAGCTACTAATCGTCGTCGAACAAGATTATTTTAATGCAATGATAGAATTTGGATTTAAACATTTCCTATTTCCTATTTTTCATTTATTCCAATGTTAATTCCATATTTAAAATACACGATTTTTACCGACATTTTCCAGCACTATTTACTCATTTAAACACAATATATGGAGTTATACTATTTTGTCGTCTAGGTTGTTTTAATTGTGACAACACTTACTTCTTCTCGTGGTCGGTCCTCCATACCACAATTGTTAGGACAGGCAATAGGGTACCTCATACACTGATTTGATTCATGGTCCTGAAAGTATACATAACACACTGCTTATCAATTTCAGGATAGATTAAACCTTATTAAAATCGTTTAATGTGTTTCTATAATTTTCTGCAGGTTATTGATTATAAGATTCTTGTAATACAACCAATTAGCGTTTCTATGTGACGTTTCGATGACTAGTACGGTATATTCTCTGTCACCTTTATTTTTAAAGTGTTGTTTAAAAACAAAATGTAACATGACTCTTAAACAAACTTATAAAAATCTTTATACCCTACCTGTTTTTGATTGAAGATGATATCCTCCTTACAGTAGGAACATGGCACGTTTCTGTATTCACACCCCTGTAGATGTTCCTCAAGGTTCTTTTTGATGGTTCTCGTTTCACATCCGTTATTTACATAGCTACACTGCAGAGATGTGTACTCGCAGCCCAGTTTATGCTCCTATACAAAAAATACAACCTCCTATATGACATTATTTCAAATAATTACAGACTGAAGGTTATGAAAGCAAGGTAATATGTTTTCTGTTTGATCGTGATGTTAAGAATAAATTCATTAAACCATTGTTTTAAGGCTAAAATAACGTAATCTGGACTTTGAAACGCTAGGAAGAATCATTCAATAATAGAATATCTGTTTACGAAACAGTTTTATAAATATATCCGTAGCTTGTATTCTCTCAATGTTCGGTGTTATTTCAAAGTGAATTTTTGAAAGAATTAACCTCTCTTGGAATCCGTAGGAAAATAATTATTTGAATTAGTGAAACGTAAGAAAGGCTGTACTGTTTTACTTTCCTACCTCTTGTTGTTTCCATTGCATTTCTTGTGTACAACCCTGCTCCTTATTTGGACAGAACACACTAAGTTTGGCGATCTCACGTCTGGCACTAGGGTCTCGGAAAATCTAATAATAGATAATAGATAATAATAATAATAATATTTTGATGGTTCTTTACATGCAGATTTGCCTTTTAATTGTCTCAAATAAAAGTATATCTTCAGTTTTTATTCTATGTATAGTTTTCTCACTGTTAACTCTAATAATATCATATGCATACTTAGCACATCGAAGTTGAACTAGATTCCTACCACTATCTGTTTACATATTGCTGATGCTTATATTAATGCCATTCGTGTCTACTTCAATCTTAATAAATAACGTATCTTCTTGGAGGGAGGTTTTTGTTTCAAGCACGGCCTGAGAAACAAATACAGGACATCCTGACGCAATATTCATCTCGGTCTGTGGTTTTCTGAAGCTATTGCTGTTAGGGTCAGGTTTGAATGAGTCCGACAATTTGGGTTTTCCTGTGTCCTGGTCAAGTAACATCAGGGTGACCTTCTGTTGGAACGGCCACGGAAGTAGAGAGTCGAAGTCGCCTCTCATCACCACAAAGAACAATGACACGTGAGTACCTTTCCCCATACCGTCGCCATTGAGGTAGACACGAGCACACATTTTAAAGCCAAATTGACAGGTATAAAAAACACATAACATGATTCTTTCGTATACAAACAATCGGACGTGAAAAGTTATAGGGTCATATGCCCGATCACGTGGGTCTTCTCCGGGTAGTCAAATTTTCCTCCCACATTACGACGCAAACATCCGGGTCAACAAGAGTGATCAATACAAGTTTTAATATCTTGTTGTATTATAAATATTATCATATGACTGGTTCTAAATCCCAGCCTGATTGGAGGAGCGACGTCACGTGACGAGTCTGTAAATATGTTACAGACTTCGTTCGATAAATAGAAAAGTATTACAGACCTCGACCTATACATAGAAAAGTGTTACAGACCGCTACTAAAAATAGGCCGAGGTAATTTCCCAGCCAGTCTGTAAATCTGTTACCATTCACACTACTGATTTCAACTACAAATGAATTATCTCATCAAATTCTCAACTATGTTAAAATTGATGATGTCGATTGTTCAAATAATATTAACTTGAAACTAAATATCACATGAATTGATTCTGAAATTCAATTTTTGTATAGGTTATTTTGTATTTGAAGTCCTTCACTCTGTGGTTCCAAAATGGTTCATGTCATCCATGTGTTTATGACATGAAAAATAGTAATCTTATTGTAAAATGTCATATAATAAAACAATTGTGGACTTCAGTTTCGGTCTATCCCTGATTTACAGACCAGGTTCGTAAATCAGGGATAGACCTCAGCTGAAGTCCATAATTGTATAACATTTTTATTTATAATTTTGCACACAAACAGTAGTGCTGACGCTAAAGTCAGGGAAACGTCACCTAACTCACATGCTACATGAGAACATGTCAAGGACCAACTTCTTCGATATCATGACATACTATCATATATTACTTTTTACATTCCACACAGTCATATATATAAATCTTTTCAAAGGTATTGTAATATACGTTGCTTTACTAGCCTGACATAATGTGCCTACCTCTTCTTTTTTTAGATTAGGTACACATGTGTCGTCATTCCCAGGGCACATAAAGGGCGGCGGCTCATCAAACACCTTAGCTGCACACACCTCACACATTCTGTGTCCACAAAGTGTTTGTACGGCATCTCTTAGTATATCTCTGAAATAAACGTTGATCATGTGGTAGATGTTTCTCTATTCACTTTATTATCACTAATTCACTCATTCTGGCCATAAATTAATTTCTTATGTGGCTTCCTGCGGTTAAATCACGCATAATCACACTATATGGGTGGTCGGGGTTCGATTCCCTGATCGGACTTGAAATGGTTTGGGGTCACCTGCCCGACTTCGTTGGCTTTCTCCGTGTAGTCCAGTTTCCTCCCACATGTAGACCCCCGCGCGCCAACATCCGGGCCAATAAGAGTAACTAATGTAAGTTTTAAAAAAGATATCTTCTTTCATAATTGTTGTAAAATATATTAAGTTTATATTTAACCACATTATATCAAAAACACTCTTTGACGTATATCATTACGTTTGGCCATTTGATAATACAGATATAATTAGTTTATTAACACACATTTTGTCACTTGTTTTTATGAGCATAGTAATACCTGCACTTGAGACATGTGTATTTTGGGTCAAGGTTGACAAAGGACGGATGTCCTGGTGGTGTCTGTTGCATGGATAACGAGAAAGAATTCATAGACGTCGTCGCCATTTCTGAAATACATGTATACTTTTAAAATTAGCGACACTAATATCAAACATAATCTGTATACACAATACATAAACACAACTTTACGAAACGTGAATCAAAAAATCTCAATACACTGTATTTCGTTGACAGATATGAAAGTATATAAAAAAATCTTTTTATATTGTGTCTTGATAAAATTTGTCGATTGTCGGTTGTCAAAATAGCAAAGAATGATACTCTGTGTTCAATGTACTTAAAGGCATACACGTAGTTACACATGTTAGTTATGAGCCTAATAAATATTTATTCTATATATAGAGTATTCATCCTATCTTCTTTTAAATGAAATAATTGAGGTTTAAGTAATATCAACACTCGGTAAGATTAATCAAAGCGCTAATGTAAACCAGATGTTTTTTCTTCTGGCAGAAGTTACGAGGATAAGGATCCCCCCCACATATTTCTGTCATAATGGCGGTATAAATCGGTATAAGTGTGAAATAACCGGTTAACGTACGAACAGATTTTATAATATGTATCCTGATGATGCACATAAGTCAGAACTGTTGCCAGACAGATGTCTATGCAATGTGTTTACCATTTATCTTCTTTTATGACAACTTAAACTCATATTTCCCTATAGGTTTCTGTGTGTCTATCTAATGATTATTTCCTGACAACTTATTTATTTCTATAAATTAACTGAATATTATACAGTTTTTACCTTTTCGTTCAGAATATTTTGACCGTTACTTTCTTACCAAAACAACTGAGACGAATGTGTTAGATATATATATGAAAAGCTAGTTATATTATTTAGTTCATTTATACTAATCCCTTATAGAAATGATTTACTTAGTTTAGCACAAAACCTTTTTTATAGTCGATATAGCTGGGAATGGAATTCTTTTAAAATTTTCTATTCTGAAGGAATTTTCTTTTTCGAATATAAATCCATAAATAGACTTACTAATGTTGTCCAGACACGACATGGCATGCATTCGCTGTACCGGGGAAAATACCAGTGACTAATCAGCAATGGCGTAGTAGTGTATTTGTTAACCATTGGACAAACATCTACTGCATATAGAACGTATGAAATATTTATTCTAAATCACTTCCCTATCTTTTATTTACATGTTTAAAAATTACTTCAATTCGATTTCTATTGCATTTTCATAACAATGTTCATTTGTATATTAATCATTAAAACGAAATACGTTTTAATGATTAATATACAAATGAACATTGTTATCTGTTGTAAAGGCCAGTAGTTGGTAAGTTTACGATACCTACTAGTAGATAAAGATCATAAAAAACGTGCTAACCCAGTATTCTAAATCTTCCTGTATTGTGATTGATAATAAAGACAGTTTACCCACGTATAATATTGATACCTAGTTCAAGCTACTACTTGTTGAATCAAGATATGTTTTTCAGAATTTTTGTCTCAAGTTTAGATGTACCCCATATATTTCACAGATCGATGAATTGGTACAGTGGTTTAAGTGAGGAGATAATATGTAATGAGTGTGAGAGTTTTCTGTTTAATAGAGATAGGGTTGATCTGTGTAAGAGAGAATTTAGGACTGCTATATGAGTTCATGAGAGGATTGGCATTAAGTAATAAAACTGACTCACAATTCACAGAAAGTTGATTGTGTACAGAAAATAACATTACCTAGAACTGACAATGACAGTTAAAGTTGAATGATTTTAAACTTATTATAAAGCGAAACCAGCATTATCAAATTTCATTGTTTTAATATAGTAATCTAAACACTGATAGGAATTCTTGGAATGATACGTGAACATTGTGAATGTACGTTAATCCCTACGAGTAAACCAAGCATAATAAACAAGAGGCCCATGGGCCTTAACGGTCACCTGATATATTTATACAGAGAGTTGATTTTGTTTTTAACACGAACAGAAATATTATTCAGTGACAAAAAACAATAAAACCCCCTTATTAAATATCTAGCATACAGATTTAAGACTAAAAAGTATTTGAAACTAGCACCTCCGATTCTAAACAAGGAAAATGAAGAAATTTTAGCACACTGACTCCTTTGGGCCCCACCCTACAGCCCTTGGGGGTAGGGCTGGCTCAAAATTTTCAAAGTATCAAACTGTCAACTCAGGGTTATAATTCCAATCAAGTTATTAACATGTAATATTCAAAGTATCATTTGCCATTATAAACCATAATAAATTTTGCCCCCCCCCCCACTCCTCCTTCCCCAGCGGGTAAACGTGAGACCCTAGGGTCATAAACCTTAAGACCCTTCCAT